ATACCTGTTTAGAATATCAGTTGGTAAAAAAAAAAAAAAGTTGGTTGGGGGTGCCTGGCTGGCTCAGTTGGGTAGAGCATGTGACTCTTGATCACAGGGTCATGAATTTGAGCCCAATGGTGGGGGTAGAGTTTCCTTTAAAACAAGCAAATAAGTAAATAAATAAATAGAAAATCATTTGGACAAGATTAACAAAGGGCAGATTTCTCCACACTCTATTTAATTTTATTGGCCTGAACTTGAGATGAGTTAACAGCAGGTCGAAACTAAATTTTTCTGTCTTTTTTTTTTTTTTTTTGCTTTGTCTTAAAGATTTTATTTATTTATTTGACAGTGAGAGACAGCGAGAGAGGGAACACAAGCAGGGGAAGTGGGAGAGGGAGAAGCAGGCTTCCCGCCGAGCAGGGAGCCCGATGCAGGGCTCGATCCCAGGACCCTGGGATCATGACCTGAGCCGAAGGCAGACGCTTAACAACTGAGCCACCCAGGCGCCCCAAAACTAAATTTTTCACTCATGGTCAGGAAAATAGCTTTTCCAATTCCCGTTATCACAAATACCTTCAAAGTTCAGGAAATTAACTCATATGCTGAAAGTGTTTACCTTGTCTCATAACCATAATTGTGAGTTTGATTGAGCTTCTGTGGTGTCTCAGAAGCTGTCACACCTTACTGGGAACTATGAGTTGCCAGCATTGATTGAGATAACTGCTGAAAGCACAACTTAAAAAGCAAAGAACAAAAAAGTTCCAGCCCATTAGCCTTCACTTCAACCCATGCTGGGTGCCGTTTCTGTTTTGTTTCTATCCCACAAACCAATCTATTCTCATAGAGCATTTTATGTTTCCATTGCTCATCATAATTTCATCATATAATCTTGTATAGTTTATATTTTATATAAATTAAATGGTATTTAGTTAATTCTGCATTTCTGATCTGTTTTTATGAAGGTTCCCTCCAATCAGCATTATTTTTACAGTTTAATCATACTGATTATGTCATACTGGGGTTTTAATTTCAGTTTGATGCTTCATAATGAAAGGAAACTACAAAATCAGAAAAACAGGTTATTTTCAGAGATATTTTGAAGGGGTTTAATATTGATTTTGTGTTAGGTTGGCAATGTAGTGTAATGGTTTAGAGCATGAGCTTTATTTTTTTGAAGTTTATTTATTTTTTTTAGTAATCTCCACACCCAGTGTGGGGTTCGAACGCAAAACCCAGAGATCGAGAGTCACATGCTTTTCCAATTAAGCCAGCCAGGCACCCCAAGAACATGATCTTTAAAGTCCAATAGACGTGGTCCAGGTCTTGGCTCTAGCTAGGTGACCTTGGATAATTGTCTCCTCTGACCTTGAATTTCTTTGTCTGTAAATTGGAATAATAATATGTCTGAGAGGTATTATTAGGATTAAATGGGAAAAAAATCCAAGTAAAGCATTTGACATGGTATCTGACACATAATAAAGACTCAATATAGGTTATGGTTGTTATTGGTATAATGATTTATGTTTGTTTGTTCCTCTTAATTCCTGGAGAGTGGGAAATACTTGGAATAGGCTTGGAAGTACATATTAGCAGCCCTTAACCATGGTCTTCTCAGAGTAATCAGATCCTTTTTAAAGACTGCATAATCTAGGGTTGAATTTAGATGCTTGATATATTTGGAATCTGAACCAGACTCCAGTCACCTTGCTGCACATTCCTCTTCTTTACAAGCTGTAGAAATTAAAACAGTAGTAGTACGGGCTCATATTTAAGATAGCAATCCGATCCAAGATTTTGTAGTTTGTAGAACTGACACTGTTTAATGTTCTCCATAAATTCATGGGGTTTAATAAGAAAGTACATAGACTTCGAACATAGAGATTCCCTAATTCAACCCCTCATCAAATGAGGAAACTCCATGAAGCATTCAACTAAGATTCTGGTTTTGTGTGATAAAACTTTACAAAAGAACAAACTACCTAATAACCATTATATTGCTACTGTCACTCTAAATTTTCATCTGATTACTATAAATCAATATAAAATAAACTTTAGAGTTGCAATCAGTGTATATCAGGTCTGTGTGAATGTTTTGTGTTACTATCATTATCCTTTAAATTTTCATTGCTACGGGGTGCCTGGGTGGCTCAGTCGGTTAAGCATCCGTCTGCCTTCGGCTCAGGTCATGATCCCAGGGTGCTGGGATCGAGGCCCACATTGGGCTCTTTGCTCAGCAGGGAGTCTGCTTCTCCCTCTCCCTCTGCCCCTGCTCCTGCTCTCTCTCACATGCACTCTTTCTCTAACAAATAAAATATTTTAAAAAATTTTAATTGCTATGGAAGATTACTCTGTTTTGACCTGCATGGCTTGCTTGGTCATTCCTATGTTGTTGAGTATTTATTTCCCACTTCTTCCTATTTTATTTTATTTATTTATTTTTTATTTTTAAGATTTTATTTATTTGACAGAGAGACACAGCGAAAGAGGGAACACAAGCAGAGGGAGTGGGAGAGGGAGAAGCAGGCTTCCCGCCGAGCAGGGAGCCCAATGCAGGGCTCGATCCCAGGACCCTGGGACCATGACCTGAGCCGAAGGCAGACGCTTAACGACTGAGCCACCCAGGCGCCCCCCCACTTCTTCCTATTTTAAATAGCGCTGCTGTGAACATCTTTTATTTCAAGTTGCGGTCCTGCTATTTACACCCTTCCTCCCAGTTAATTCCTAGGGGAATATTTCCACAAATTAATCGAGGTGTAATACTACATTCTAGTTACTGATAGGTTCAAACTCACTTCACAGTAGCTTGGTATTGAAAACTCAGATACTAGAGATTTGACTAAATGTAGTTCTTCTTAGGTGGTTGCTTTTTATTAAAAAGAAAAATTTTTTTACCAGCGTAGAGTGAGTTACAAAGAGAGTTTTTAAGGTAAAAGGAAAAAGGTGTGAGAAGACCCTGGGGAAATTTGATAGTTTCCTAATTCCTCCTGAATCTGATTTCAGAATGTTGTTTTATTTTCTCACACAGTATAGCAGGTACACTCCAGTTCTTAAAAGTAGAGATATAACTATTCTAAAGATGATATAGGGGCGCCTGGGTGGCTCAATCGTTAAGCGTCTGCCTTCGGCTCAGGTCATGATCCCAGGGTCTTGGGATCGAGTCCCGCATTGGGCTCCCTGCTCAGCGGGGGGCCTGCTTCTCCCTCTCCCACTCCCCCTGCTTGTGTTCCCTCTCTCGCTCTGTCTCTCTCTGTCAAATAAATAAATAAATAAAATCTTTAAAAAAAAATAAAATAAAATAAAGATAATATATAACATTTTTAGATTAACCATAAATGGGCTTTCTTCCATTAGTGCAGATGTGAGCATGTTTTGGACTTCAGCTTCACATAATTCTTTTGTTACAGAGATCTACTTTCATTTCTCAGACCTTAAATATAGGTGGGAGTTTCTGTCTCTATAGCAGTGCCCCTGCCAGATACGATTCAGCCTTGATGGGAAGGAAGTCTTGTGGCCAGATGGGTGGAGATTCAGGTACAAGGCCATAAAGATAAAAATGGAAAGAAAAGGAAAACTATACAATAAGGTTCTGTAACAAAGATGAACCTGACTACAAGCAACTGCTTGTTCTGAGGGTTGGGGCTTCTTTAAAATTATGAAAGAAATTAGTCCATTGTTTTTATTTGTAATTTAGTTTATTTGGGGGATAGTCATTTCATACAGATCAAAATTCAAATAATTCTTTTACAAACCCTGGCCCCCAGCCACCCAGTTTCCCTTCCCTAGAGGCAGCCAGTATTACGAATTATGTGATTTCCTTACAGAAGTATTCTGTATATATACAAGTAAATAGGTATGTACATGCATTATGTTTCTGTGTATGCACACGTGTTCTTTATCTTCTTTTTCCTAGCAAATGACTATGTCATAGACATACTGTTCTACACTTTGCTTTTTCACCCAACATTAAATCTTGAAATTATATCAATAGGTCTTTTTTCTTTTTTGAAAGCACTTAAAAAATGTCATGTGTCTATATTGGGTGGGAGTAATTCTTCACCCAGGGATTAGGCCTGGTGCGTAGTAGTGTCCAAGAAATGTTTGTTGAGTGAAGGAGCGAGTGAATTAATTATTTTATTAATTTAAGGCACAAATAAAAAGAGGCAGAAAGCTAAGAATTGTCTGAAGTTCTGAGACTGTTGACCTAACCCTGACCCTGGGACGGAGGGAAATCTAAGGGACAACATCATAAAATGCAAATTTCTTTTAAAAAGGCATATCCCTTTAAGGCTTCATACTAGGAGATGTCAATAGGGAGAGATTCCTCTGGAGGTGGGTGAAGAATGGGACTGCCCCTAGATTCTGGGAGTCCTGGCCTGTTGTGACAGGGCTCCAGGACCTGGAACAAGTGGGTTCATATCTCTGTGCTGTTCTTTGTTCAAATGCAAAACAAGGGAGTTGGAGTAGATTATTTCAATGGGCTGTTCGGGCTCTAAGATTATGTCATTTATAATTCTGCAGTTTCCTGTCTGATTACCAATTTGCCCAAGATATTCATCATGTTGAAACCGCATTTATAGCGAAATAAAAAAATGAGATGTCCTTTCTTTAAGATAATAAAGAGCCCTACAGGTTATTGGTGAAAATGTGATTATTAAGAATTCCAAAATTTAGACTATAGAAAGTAGTTTGCATTGATTATATTCCTCACAAAAATTTATTGCCCAAACTATAAGGCAGAAGCAGATTTATGGGAATAAGATCTAATACCCCACACATTAACACATTTTGAGAGAATCAGTACTCTGTAGTTTTAACCTGTGAGAGGCAAAAAAAAAAAAAAAATCAGATAAATAACTAATTTAATAAAATTATTCAATAGTAAATGTAATTGTTATAAATGATGTCTGTAATATATTTAACAGCATTTATCAAATATATTTTGTTACTAAAAGAGTAACTAATAGTAAACATAATTCATAGTAAAATAAATCTTTTTTTTTCCTCTTTTTTTTTAGTTAAGTATGAGAATGAAGCTAGTAAATATTGGGACACATTTTATAAGATTCATAAGAATAAGTTTTTCAAGGATCGTAATTGGCTATTGAGGGAATTTCCTGAAATTATTCCAGTTGATCAAAAAACTGAACAGAAGTTGCAAGAATTATCATGGGATCCTGCAAAAACTAGTGCTGCCGATGGTTTCTCAAGAACACGCTGCCCTCCTGTGCCTGAAGAAAAAAATCATAATCAGAAAAGGTGTGGCTCATCAGACAGGCAAAGCCAAGCGGGATCGCAGTTTTCCAGCCTAGACTCTGAAGAAAACAGAAAAGGACCTCTGAAAACAGAATTGTTTCCCGGGAGCAACGCCACTTTCAGAATTCTAGAGGTCCTGTCCGGCCAGGGCAAAGATGGGAGGGGGCAAATAACTTTGAAATGTACATTCCATATGACTTTATGAAAATGGTCAAATCTAACTAAATAAGTGTTCTGTATACTTCTGTGCATAAAAAATATTTGAGGGACTCATGTCTATCATCAGGTTCTAAGTTTGGGTTTTAATTTTTTTTAATTTGTGTTCATATCTAACTTGAAGGCAGTTTTAAAGATTTTATTTATTTATTTGACAGAGACACAGCGAGAGAGGGAACACAGCAGAGGGAGTGGGAGAGGGAGAAGCAGGCTTCCTGCTGAGCAGGGAGCCCGATGCGGGGTTCAATCATGACCTGAGTGGAAGGCAGATGCTTAACCCACTGAGCCACCCAGGCATCCCTTGAAGGCCGTTTTAAATACCAATAAAGTTTTGGCCTTAATTTCTATCTCTTTCTGTTATTAACCTGTTTTAAGTGAAATAGAAATAAATGAGATATATAATTAGCTGTAATCCAGTGTAGACCTTGACTTTCTATTTTTAAAAGTAAATCTCTTCCTCCTGGTTATAAAGGTAATACATATTGATTAGAGAGTTTGCTAAGGAGTAGATAAAAGAAAATTATCTACCACACACAAGGGAGTTAACCACACTTAACATTTTACTGACTTTTCCCCTTTTGTTTATACTGTTTTATACAGTTGAGCTACACTGTACCTGTATTTTGGGGTTTTGCTTTGTTTCTATTTAACATTATAACATAAGCAACATAAGCAGTTTTTTCTATCTTAAAAATTCTCTATAAATATTTTCATGGTTGCAAAATATTTTTCTACAGAAAGTACTTTAATTCTGCTCATGTATCTTTACAATACTAGGCTTTTAAATTGTTTTCAGGTTTTCTACAGAAAATATCTTTGGGTATAGACCTTTCTGTGTTTTCTTTTATTAGATTTACTAGCTCATAATTTATTTTAAAAATTTAATGCCCTTAAAATATATTGCCAAATCACTTTCTAAGAAATTTTATTAATACCAATTCATGGCAATACATGTCTGTTTCATCATACCCTCATTGGTTAGAATATTCCTATTTTAGGGGCACCTGGGTGGCTCAGTTGGTTAAGTGTCTGCTTTCAGCTTAGGTCATGATCCCAGGGTCCTGGGATCGAGTCCCCCGTTGGGCTCCCTGTTCAGTGGGGAGACTGCTTCTCCCTCTCCCTCTGGCCCTCCCCCCGCTCTTGCTCTCACCCTCTCTCTCTCAAATAAATAAATAAAATCTTTTAAAAATATATTCTTTTTTAAGTGATTTCCTCTTTGACAGATGAAAATTATACCTCGTTTTAATTTGCATTTCTTTGATTGTTAACTAGGTCACATAGTTCTTCAAATGCTTAGAAGCTATTTGCACTTCTTTGTACTCTATTTCCTTTGCTTATTTATCTGTTATTTTTTTTTAACTACTCTACCCTTTTACCGTATTTATTACCAATTTTTTTACATTGTGTTGGTCACCTTTTAATTTGGTTTGAATTTGGGTGTGTAAAAATTTTAAATGTTTCCATAGTTAAATTTGTCAGTATTATTCTTGTGACTTATTCCATTGCTTTTGAGTTTAGAAAACCCTCCGACACCTAAGGGGCATGTGGGTGGCTCAGTCGGTTAAGCATCTGTTTCGGCTCAGGTCATGATCCCAGGGTCCTGGATTGAACCCCATGTCCCTGCTCAGCAAGGAGCTTGTTTCTCCCTCTCCCTCTGCCCCTCCCCCTCTCTGTGCTCTCTCTCTCACTCTGTCAAATAAATAAGTAAAATCTTTTAAAAAAAAGAAAAAGAAAACCCTCCAATGCCTACAGATCCAGTACATTTTTTCTAGTTTTTTTTTACATAAAAAAATCTAACATTGGTGAGGAAAATTTAACCTTGTTTTCATGATGCTTGTTTATTCTTTTGATTTTTTAGGTTGGCTGTGGTGCTGGAAATAGTGTTTTTCCAATTTTGAACACTTTACGGTGAGTTTTAGTTTTATCTTGCAAAATTTTACATATGTATGGGACGTTAAGAAATTCTGGAAAAATGTCACGTATATGCCAGTAGTATTCTTGTTCGCATATAAACAATGACTTAAACAAATTTCAAAAGAATTGTCTTAGTCTTAGTGTCTAATTTTATGTGAACTAGGAATTACTCTGAAAAGAGTGTTTCACAGCCGTGGGTTGAAGTAATTTTTTAAGCTTGTGTGTGCATGGATGAGAGAATAAGAAAAGAGCAAGAGACTTGACTCCCTTCCACTCAGCTGTGAATTGCTAAACAGATCTATTTGCTCCCCCAGGTATGGAGGTGCCATTTTACACTCAGAGAATTGAATTTAAAGCTTATACTTTAACCCTCATTTTATTTTGTCACTTCTGGAGCCACACCCAGTGTAAGGCCTTCCTTTGTCAAATGATTGTCTCCAGACTTGAAATTGTTTAGAGGTAACAGCAACTAACCCAAAGACAAAAAAACAGACATAGATGATAGGGACAGAGGTGTTCTCCTGATGCATCCTTGCTGTTCACCACCTCACGTATATGTTGTAGTATCTCTGTGATGAAGACGACACTCCTCACAAAGCTTTTTCTAGCACGTTTTACCAATGGCTGGTCTTTTTTTTTTTTTTTTAAGTTTACACCATAGCTTTCACATTATTTTTCCATTATAAAATTGACATGAGCGCATTGCAGAACATTTCCATTAGAGGAGAGGGGGGTGAGAATCACCCATCATCCCCATCATCCTAACATAGCTGCTGTCAGCACATTTGTTATAATCCCTTTCAGTCTTTTCTCTGTGTGTATTTTGAATTTTAATGATGCTATTTTTTTAGCTTTTCCTTGTGAAAATGTAAAAGCATTCAGAAAAGTAAAGAGTAATACAGTGAATTCCCATATACCCACCACCTCAATTTAATAGTTAACACAATGCCAACATCATGACACTTTATTGTTAAATACTTATGATGTAGCTCCAAAAAAATCAGTACGTTCTTCATTACTATTCTAAGCCTAACATATAAATAGTAATTCCCTAATACCATTAGATTACCAGTTAAAGAGGCCAGGCAGAAGTGATGGTGGCAAATTTGCAGTCCTGAATGACCTCTCTCTTTTTGTATTTATTTTCTTTGTTTTCCCTTTCCCCCATTTCTGGGCCAATATTTCCTGCTCTTTTATACCACATACCAGTTTCCTTCACCCCAGTAACCTCTGAGCTTACAATACACATAAATTTACTACTGTGGCAATTGATAATGTGTTACTTTATGATCCATCTCAAGGTATTATTTAGCATATCATTTCTTTAAGTCTTGTCTCTCCAACCACTGCGTATGTTCCTTGAAGTAAAAAGCATATTTTACCCAAATCTGATTTTCCAGGTAGCCTAACAGTGTAATACAGATATTTAGAGCTCAATACATAGTGACTAATATCTCTGAATTCCCACTTGTTAGTTCTGTTTTTCCCTCTTTACTTCTCCCTCCAACGAATAATTGCATGCACTTACTTCCTCACTCCCTGATACATCTCGGCTCTGTTTTTTTTTTCAATCATTGTAGCTTGATAACCTAAGATAATTAACTCATCTTTAAAAGGCAACCAGTGATTAGCCTTCCAAAGGGAGAATTAGACTTTTTTTCCCACCTAAGAAATTATGTTGTATTACTTTTGGAGAGTATAGGATTAATGTCTTACATTTTCTGAATATTTTACCAGAATTAGACCTCTGGAATTGAGAGTTCATATCATTCTCCAAGGATCATTTAATGCTTAAACCCCCTGCCAAGAGAGTGCTTTGTGGTATGGTGGTAGTAGTGATAGTTACACCTGCTTGCTGGGAGAAGGGCCAGGGCAGTCAGCTGATTTTACAGAAAAGTTCTGGAAAGTCATTGGGTGGTCACAAGACTTCAACTTGGGCTGCTGTTGTAGTGGGAATTCAATCTCAGAGGTCATGCTGCCCTCCTGGTAGGACACGTGGCAGATGGCACAGGCTTTCCTTTAGCTGCTAGACTGTTCAATATCTTGTGGCTGTTCAGTAACCACTGCCCAAAGGTTGACTGCATACCTTTTATAATGAGCTAGATGTGCCAGTGTCCAAAAAAGCATTTTGAGTTATACGGAAGTTTTTAATAGAATCATGATAAGTTCTTAAGTTTTTAAGTTCCTAGAAGGCAGAGGCAGCTCTTCCTATAATAATAATAATAATAGCAATAGCAACAACAATAATGACTAACATTTATTAGGTGTTTACTCTGAGTTAGGCACCTTTCTGGAAACTTATATGAATCCCTTCAATCTTCACAATGACCTTAAATGCCATATTTATCTCTGCTTTATAGATGAGGAAATGGAGTTACAGAGAAATTAAGTAACTATTCCAAGATCATATAACTGAGTGGTAAAGCCAGGATTCAAACCATAGGCAGTTTGGTTCCAGAGCCCTTGCCCTTAGCCATCATATCACATAGGGCTATATGCATCTGAGTTCTTCCTGAGAAAATTTCAAACACATGTGACCACCCAGCAAGTTAGGGGTCACAAATATATGGATTTCATAGGAAACAGTAGGGCTATAGGCTTCAATAAAGCACTGTTTTTTTTTATATGGGACAGATGGAAAAGACAAGCAGTGCAAGTCATAACCAAATCTTATTCACCATATTTTAACTGATCTTAAACTGAATGCAAATCCCCAATGCCGCAGAATGAATGTGTTATACATGAATGTAGTATCCATCAATGGGTAGCATTTAAGAGTATAATCTGTGCCTGGGTGAGATTTTATTTGTGGAATACATATTTGTGCTTGTATTTTATATTTATTTAGTAGTCCTCCTTGCTTGAAATATCTCCTGAATCAAATTAGAAGTCCTAATTATGTGTTTTAAGGCCCACTTGTATATCCTGCGACATACTGGTTTGAGCTCTCGGGATCAACTCTGCTTCTTATCCCTGGCTTATATCTCCCATCTCTAAGCCCTTATACCATTTACCCTTCTCCCCACTCAGCAATGCTATTCCCCCCCTTCAAAATTCTTAGGAACTCTGCCCTATCCACAACCTTAATAGAAGCTATATAAAACCAGTCATGTCCTCAACTAGGCTATAAAACCTGCAAGAGCTAGGACCATAGTTATAATTATTGTTTAATGACATACCAATCTCTTTCTGCAATTCAGACATGGTATTAAGTAACATGATGCCTGGATTATTTGATACCAGCATATGAGGGATAATCAGGAAGGGTACTGGCCCACAAAATTCAAAGTATATGCGTGCCCATGAGTAACCAGGGTCCAGACATTGTTACTGAATTTCAGGTAAAGGCCAAATAGAACTTGTCTAAGTTCAGTGGAGGCCAATTAAAACTACTCAAGACTTTCATACGGGTAAACATCACCTGCGAAAAAATGACTGACTTTATTTACATTTGTAAATAAAATAACTGAGTCTTAGAGAAGTTAAGTCAAATTCACAGAGTTAATAAATGGCAAATTCAGGATTTAAACACAGGTCTATTTGGCTCCAAAATCTATACTCTTACTATTTTACTAGACAATTTCATTTACTACCTTGTATTCTAATTCTTGGTATATACATGAGGCTTAATAAATGTTTGATCATAACTTGAGAAGATAACTAAGAATTAATATATTAGTGTTTTATTCTTTTTTAGAAGTTGTATTTACATGCTATTAAAATATACATATATTTTTTTCAGATTTTGAAACAGTTCTAATAATTTTATTTTATTATGTTATGTTAGTCACTATACATTACATCATTAGTTTTTGATGTAGTGTTCCATGATTCATTGTTTGCATATAACACCCAGTACTCCTTCAATACGTGCCCTCCTTAATACCCATCACCAGGCTAACCCATCTCCCCAGCCCCTTATGTATATGTTTCTGTTCCATTAGGGGCATCAGAGCCTCTCTGAGAGGCCCAAGAACCAAATGAGTTATACACATAGAAAGGGAACTGAAGCACCAAGGACACAGGGGTCTGAGAGTCCTTGCACAAGGGTAGAACTTGATTAAGCTATGAGGAGCTCCAGGCCTTGCTGGCTGAAGGCACAGAAGAAAGTGTGGGGAGGTGGGGAGTAGCAGGAGGAAGATGAAGCAATGATGATGGATGGCTTTGGAGGTTTCCCAGGTGAGAGTGTGATGGGATGTAAGGGCAAGTAGGCTCACATAATGGAGAACTTCAAAGCCAGGACAGGAATTTGAAAGTTACCCTGTAATTAATGGCAAGTATTTGAGGCAGTGCTATTTCAGAAGCAACATGAAGGCACCTACACACCATTATAGAGAACAATATCTAAAAAGAAGAAACAACAAGCCAGGTGTCATCCAAAATTCTATTAAAGAAATACTTTTTTACAAGTTCAAGCCTACAGTTTCCTTTCTTCTGTAACCTGAGCATAGATGAACTCTAGATTTAAATATTGTTTCCATTTTCATAGGAATGCTCCAGAGTCCTTTCTTTATTGTTGTGATTTTGCTTCCGGAGCTGTGGAGCTAGTAAAGGTATGCCTCATATTTTCTTTAAAGAGAGCCAGGTAAGGATCTAATTTGTTGTTGCTGATGTGGTATTTTTGAAATGTTTCAAATATTATCTGTGGCCATTTTTAACTGAGCTTTTACTATTTCTGGGAATCATACCATCAGCTGATGCCTAAGATATCACCCTAAAATGATAGTTGTTTTGAATTTAAAATAAAGTTGAAGGTACTGGTACACCTAGAAAGGTCAACAACTCCTACAAGGTGATATATATATATTTTTTTGAGGTGGGGGGAGGGAAAGAGGGAGAGGGAGAGAGAATCTTTTTTTTTTTTTTAAGATTTATTTATGTATTAGAGAGAGAGCATGCACACAAGCTGGAGGAGGGGGAGAGAGAGGGAGAGAATCTCAAGCAGACTCCCCACTGAGCGTGAAACCCAGCGTAGGGCTCAATCTCACAACCCTGAGATCATGACGTGAGCTGAAACTAAGAGTCAGACACTCAACCAACTGAGCCACCCGGGCGCCTCGGGAGAGAGAATCTTAAGCAAGCTCCATGCCCAGTGTGGAACCTGACACAGGGCTTGATCTCAGGATGGGGCTTGATCTGAGGACCCTGAGAGCATGACCTGAACTGAAACCAAGAGTCGGACACTTAACCAACTGAGCCACCTAGGCGCCCCCTACAAGGTGATCTTATTTATATTTATGTCCCTAGAGCCCTACACATAGTCTGACACATAGGAGGCGCTCATTAAATTAAAAATTTTGAAGTTAAAAAATTTTGAGAAGGCATATGATACAAATGTAAACTGTCCTAGACTGTTGGGAAAGCAGTGGGGAGCCTGGACTTGTTTGACCAATCCCCAAAAGCTAGTAAACATTCCCTTAGCAAAAAGTATTTTTAGGAGATGGAAAAGGAATGGAAATTCTGCTAACAGAAATGTATAGTGAGTACGTGGAACTTAATTTCTGATATTAAGAGTAGTAGTTATTCATGGTAGACATTTTCTAAAATACTGAAAAGCCTAAACAGGAAGATAAAATTGACCTATAATCACACTTGCTAGAGTCCTATGGTGAATCGAGGTTAGTAGTTTGGTATACATCCTTCTGGTGTTGTTTTGTAGGCGTGTGTGTATATGTGTGTGTGTGTAGTTTTTTTAAATAACAGCTTTATTGAGATACAGTTCACATACCATGGAATTCACCATTTTAATGTATACAATTCAGTGATTTTAGTATATTTACAGAGTTGTGCTGTCATTACCATTATCTAATTTTTGATTAGGTAGTAGAGGATATTTGTATTTTAAGCCGAAGGAGGTATGGCACAAGCAGTGGGAGAGAGAGCTAAGGACCATCTCAGTGCCTCTGAAGTAACATAGGGTAGACTTCCAACAATGCTGCCTACTGACTCAAAGGCCTGCCCTACGCCTCTTTTTAAACTAAAGAGGGATTGTGAAGAATATTTGTTATCAAGTCCAAGTGCAAGACTTAATTTTTTATGGCAGCTTGAAATAAGCTAACAGAATACTGAATCTGAAATAAAGTGCATTCAGATTTACAGAGGAAAGGCACTAGGGAGAAATAAAAAGTTTGACCTTTTTATTTTAAGGAAAATGCTAGAATTCAGCTAACTGCTTTTTTTTTCTTTTCATTCCTTTATCATGATAGTTGCACTCGTCCTACAGAGCAGCCCAGTGTTGCGCCTTTGTCCATGACGTCTGTGATGAGGGCTTACTCTACCCTTTTCCAGATGGGATCCTGGATGTCATTCTCCTTGTCTTTGTGCTCTCTTCCATTCATCCTGACAGGTAACCGAAGACAAAAGGGCAAAGCAAATGTGTAAAGCTCCTTTATCAATCGTGGTTTTCAGAACTATCAAAAAAAAAAGTGACAATTCTTAAATTTATGATTTCATGAACTACATAGTGTAGAACACGCAGCCTTTTAAATGCAGCTTTTCCTTTCTTCAGACTTGGAGAAAGAAACTGGTCAAACTGCTTCATTAGCTTTCTATCACTGTCAGAGAGAAGTGAGCATATTCTGGCAAGACACATACCTATTAGAAGTGACAGCGCTCCAAGGAAATTACAAATTCAGAATAGCCTAATAGACTCCCAAGAGGGAAATTGTACTTGGTGATCAGAAACAAACATCTTTGATTTAGCATCTTACTGAATGTTCGTGAAGAGGCAGGCTGTGAATCTGGTTTCCCACCGGTCTATCGACAGGCTTTAAAAATTTTGTTCTAAAGAAGTCCAGGGAAGTAGGGTACTCAAGATTTGCCAGATTAACCTTGGACCTTTATAATCTAAGATTGGCTGGTGCCATCATTTAAATATTTATGATTTAAATTTTTTGTTCACACAATGTTTTGAAACAGTCAGCATGTCCAGAGAGGAAGCAGAAAGAGAGATTACCAGCCGTTAAAATAAAATAATCACTGCTGTGAAAATTTTGCCACCTCATATGTATTAAGGCACACTGTGTGGTGTCAAGGGTTGTGCATTTGTAAGTTTTCTTAAAATTGGTTTTTCTGCTGTGGTAGTAGATTCAGCCCCCCGGAAAGTTCCTCTGCTGGTAGGTACAGACTTGACATCAACCAGTCTTTGTTTGATGAGTGTGACCCTTTCCCAAAGAAGCTGGGTTAACGTGTGCCTTTTCCTTTGCAATTACAAACTCACTAGGACCTTTTACAGTCCTTTTACTTCTCATTTAGAGATGAGCACTTTGATTGCTTGTTGAAAGACAAATTAAATTTCCAAATAAATCTGAATGAAACATATTTTTGCACGTGGTGAGAGATATCACATTCCATGAAGCTACTTTTTCCTCCCAGTTTCTATAATCTGTGTCTTTGTGCTAATCTGTTTAGAATATTGGCATCATTCAGGTACTGGTAGAGAGATGTCATCTATGTATTTTGTTTCATAGTTAAAATAATGAATAGTTAAAAGGATGAAGTAGGTGGATAGAGAACAAGATTTTCTATTTTACACCTATAACAGGAAATGTTTAAATTCCAAATAAGACCACAAAAACACTACTTGAAATTAGTTTAGATAATGTATTTTCTCATGATTTGAACTGAATGTTAAAAAGAAGGGGAAGCAGATGTCTTAGAAAGATTACTGTTACCCTACAGTATGTTCATTCTACTTATTTATTATAAAATAAATTCAGATGTATCATGTCCCTAGCCACTTTCTTACCTATAGGGAAATAATCTAAAACTAAGATGAATGAGTAGAAGGAAGGCAACAGTAAGTGAAAAGACAGTATCTTTAGGGTCATTTGGGACTGTGGTGGCATATTCAGCCCCATGAAAGTTTTAGAAAAGTGGCTTCTTGCCAGCTTGGAAAATCCATGCACAAATGAATGGTGAGCAGTTCTGCTAGACCTTGAGTCTGGGGGACCCAGCTTAAATGGGAATAAACCATAAGAAGAGCTAACTGTCCTTATCACTGAAATAAAAGAAAGTACAATATGTTTACCACAGATCCAAGCATAGTGTAGGCAATCAATATAATACTCCTTTTTTTAATCTCTTCTCTTCCTTTTCCTCACCCTCCATCTAGAGGTAGATGAGGATAGCCGAGTTGGCCCACGTCAAAGAAAGAAAGAAAAGGGGCCCTCTCCCATTCTTGTCTTGTCCATCTCCCCCAGCCCATGCCCACCTGCAGTCCTCAGGACTCTGGAACTTGGCACTGAGCCAAGCAAGATGGACTGATGAAGAAAAGCAGCTCCCCCCCTTGCCTTTACCTACAACCCCAGATGTTAAAGGATAGTTGGGAAGAAAGGATTTGCAGAGGGAGATGGCTGCATTTTGGCTCTTTGTTTTTCTGCATTTATGTTTCATATTTGTTTTAGTAGTAATTGCAGAAAGATATTTTTCTCTGTACATAAGACATTTATCCTGAAAGTGAATATTTTAAGGTTTAGATATGGTTTTCTTTAATTGCCAAAGCCCAAGACCATAAACATAGTGTGAAAATAACCTCTAACAAAATAAACAAGGAAAAATACTTTCCTTTTTTTCCCTTTCATGTACTTATGTTCCAGTTTTTTAAGAGAGCATTTCATTTAATTATGCTACCTCTTTCTGTTATATTTCTATCTTGTTTTCATAGTTACTTTCATTTTCTCACTATCTACTTCCTTCATAACCTGACATAAATCTGGCTTTTCACTCCTTAATTCCACTGAACAGTGTTTTCATTGGAAGGCATTTACAGATTATCTGATGCAAACTCCTCATTTTTAAAATAAGAAAATCTAGAAGCTTTAAGTAGTGTGGATAAAGCAGAGATGGCAAGGACTCAGCACACGGGCTGCCATTTACCATTCTCTGCTCAGGGCAGACACTCATAACTGATTTTGTACCCTGATTGTCATTCCTGGTGAGCTCTGTAGGCAGCCAATGTCAGTCACTCAGCATTGATATGAGATCTGAAATCTTTGCCATCTCTGACCCATAATCACACATAAGACCATGAACATTTAACCGAAAACATTAAGTCAAGAGCAGTCACAAGGGGTCGTATTTGATTGGGAGCCAGATGAAAAGAATAAATAATAAAAGAAAGAAAGTAAAGGCTTCCCAGTATTCTTGAGCTGGGGCTTGGAGTGTGACTAGAATTTAAATAGGCAGAAAGTAAGAAGGAGAGAATTCTTTGAGGGGAAACCATGTGAACAAAGGCATGGACTGCTTCAGAGCCTAGCATGTAACAGTTTGGCCAGAGCTGATGCTTCACATTAGGACGTGGTGGGAAAGATGTTGGAGAGATTGAGGCCAGTTGTAAGAGATCTTAAGGGCCCAACTAAGAAATTGAGATTTTATCCTATGGATTAAAGTCATGAACATTTTTGAGCAAAGGGATGATTTGACAAAACCATCATTTTAAGCAGAATAACTCCTCACTGATAATACAGGAAGAATTAACAGGGGGAATAATAAAGCATGTTAGGAAGTATTCTGTTCCCAGGCCTAAGGAGGTAGCAATTTGTTTTAAATGACTACCAAAGGGAAACAAAAAGGAGACAAAAGATCAGTTTAAACAAAGAAGACCTAGAATTGGATGACCAGATGGTTGTGGAGAGGCTAATGAAAGAGGAGGAAAAGAAAAGGGGTTAAGGATATCTCTGAGGTATAACACTTCAGTGAATGATGGTACCTTTGAACTAAATAAAGGAGAAGGAGCTAGTTTTGGAGGAAACTTGATCTCTGTTTAGATAAGTGCAATTTGGGATGGCTCCACCGTATTTTTTATCTTGCAAGGAAAAGGAAGCGACTTTGGCGTTTATCTGCCTTGGAACTACCGTAACTTGATATAAATACCAGGAACCATCTATGTACTTTTGCAGTACAGCTTTGACATCATATATCAAGCTCTGCAAAGACATCACTCTGTCATTTGGGTGATTACTTAATACTCTAGGTCTTTTGAATCTGATCCTTTAGCAAGTTTTGGTATTCTTTTTCCTTTCTGTATGAAGTATTTTTGGTTTTGTCGCCCTTATGTTTGTGGTGAGACTTTTTTGGCCCCATAGAGCTTTCCTTATTTTGTCTTTAAGAAAGTTAAATGTGGCATGTAAAACAAGATTTCTGCAGACAGTATCTTGCTTTGTTTTCAAAGGATGCAAGGCGTTGTAAACCGACTGTCCAATTTACTGAAACCTGGAGGAATGCTGTTATTTCGGGACTATGGAAGATATGATAAGACTCAGCTTCGTTTTAAAAGGGGTATATTCAGTTTGGAATTCTTTTCATGTGTTTTAAAGAATGCTTTGTTTATATTTTATGTCAAGTTTTTGTTCCGTTTTAAGGAATACTAAGTTTCTCTGATCACAATTATGTTTTTTAGGGCATTGCTTATCTGAAAATTTTTATGTTCGAGGAGATGGTACCAGAGCATATTTCTTTACAAAAGGTATGCTTATCTCTAAGGGAAAATAATTAGCTGTAAAAAACTCTCTTTGGGGGGTGCCTGGGTGGCTCAGTCGTTAAGCGTCTGCCTTCAGCTAAGGTCATGATCCCAGGGTCCTGGGATCAAGCCCTGCATCGGGCTCCCTGCTCTGCGGGAAGCCTGCTTCTCCCTCTCCAACTCCCCCTGCTTGTGTTCCCTCTCTCACTGTGTCTCTCTCTGTCAAATAAATAAAATCTTAAAACAAAACAAAACAAAACAAAACTCTCTTTGGTTACTCTGTAACCACACTGTAACTGTTCTCTGTGAAAGCTTGAAAATGGCCTTTTTGTCTTTTAATCTTTTTCCAGTTGAAACTGCTTTAAAGAATTACTTGTTTCATCCTTATACCCAAATGAAGGTGTAGTCTGTTCCATTTGGGAAGTATGGTTAGCCCAGATATGAAAAAAAAATGACATGCCACAGCCAGAGGAGGGAATTTGATGTTAAGAGTCCATAGAAAATTACTTACCTCTTGTCAATTCCTCATTTTTAAAAAAGCATTTAAAATGAATTCTGCATTCAGGGATTTTCTCCAAACTTATGTGAGTACTTTTATAATGTGCCATTTGGGGTCTTTGCAAACCAACAAAAACTCAGAACAGAGGGCACCTTTCAAAATATTGAAATCTGCAACCAGTAGATTGTATATCCATTTATGCCTGCTATATTAAGCTGTTTATACTTGGTGTATTTCTGTGAAGTAGAAGAAGTCCACTTGGTTTTACAGGTTTCCTTAACCAATTTGTACTAGGGAGTTTCTTGGTATGAGTGAAATTTAGATGGTCAGTCATTCCATTAATATTCCATTGTCCCTGACTGTCCCCCTGTCCCCCACCACCATGCCCGTCACATATACACTTGATTGCCATTTTTGTCTCACAGGGGAAGTCCACAATATGTTCTGCAAGGCTGGGTTAGACGAGAAGCAAAATCTGGTTGATCGTCGATTACAAGTGAATAGGAAAAAACAAGTGAAAATGCACCGAGTGTGGGTTCAAGGCAAATTCCAGAAACCATTATACTTGACTCAAAAAACCTCTAAATTGGTATTTTCACTCCTTTCTCACGGCTGAATTATGTACCATGTTAAGGTACAAACCAGAGGATTACACTGTACAAAGACTTCCGTAGATCTTTCATTTTTGAAAGGACAATCAGAAGAAAAGAGAATTTGTATATCCTGCTATTTATCATGGGTGAGCTCTTTTATTTAAGCACTCATAAATGATTTGGAAGAGTGTACCATATTCTGTGTTTTCAAAGCTTAATATGCTCAAGCTTGTTTGGGTTTATTATGTCTAACCATTTTGTTTGTACTTTGAATTTTATAAGCTTTCAATTAAATTACTGATGTAAGTCAGATGATTCTGAGAAACCATACCCTGCCATTTTTTAGAAGTGCAAAAAAACCACTTGTTTATGCGTTAGTCTAACACAGTTAAACTCTCTTCCTCTCTTATCTGATACCAGGGAGGGAGCACTCCTTGTTTCCCTGGCAAGTCACAAGGCCTAGGTGAATTGTTTGTGTTCTTGTTGTCTGTTTTCCCCAAAACTCTTTTTTTTTTTTTTTAATTCAGAATCTGATGTCTGAAATAGAATTTTAGTTTCTCTTTCCTTTCCTAAAATTGGGGAAGTATGACCCATGCTAAGATTATTTTCAGGCTATTCTTAGGTGTACAAGTTGTTGTAAGCTCCCTTTAAGACAACTGTTATACCCAAGACAATTCTTATTGCCACCTTGCCTCAAAAAGGATGTAAGTTGGCTTGCAAATTGCACTTTGTAAAAGTGGAGTTTCTGAGATTGGTTTTCCATTTGTTATACAACATATACTGAGTACTTACATTGTGCTAAATTATATGGACTAATAGAGTAAATACAGACCCAGCCCTGTCTTCAGAGAGCATAGATAGGATCTGGCTGGCAAAGCAAAATGTGCACATCCCAAGCCTCTAAATCACAATCTCAGATAATATATAAGCAGGTACTCAAATAGGGAACTTATTAGCTAGCACACTTTGGTTATGAGCCACAGAAATCTGGAAGAAATGGACAATCTCTTAAAGGACCATCACTGGAAAAATTCAGTTCCCACTGTTTTTCCATTTTGAATTCACGTAAAATTCCGTTTTCTGGAAGAAGGTGATTGGTCCAACTTGGGTCATGGATTCATCTCTTGACAGTTTGGGGCAGGGCAGCTTCATTGACAGTGCCACCTGAATATATGGAGTGGAGGAAAGTTCCTCAAAGGAAAATAAAAGACACTGTTATCAGAAAAAGAGAGGAGGGTTGCTGCCTGGTCACGAACAGCAGGAGCAATAGTGGTTCCAAAGAGAGAGAAAGATTAGCTGGTGGGAAGGAAGGGGGGAGCATCAGGTTCTGGGGGGTGGTGGGTGTCAGGCTAGTCCTTGATGGGGAGAAGACAAGTGTGTTTGGTGTGGGCCATTCCCGATGATGAATCGTGGAGAAAAGATGGGGTGGGGAGTCAGCTGCCAGACAGCCTTGAATAGAGGGCACATTGGGTTCTAATTCTCTAGTCTGGAGCAATCTGAGGTTGTATCCTACCCATGGCATGTTATAAATATATTTAGAGAGATTGAGGCATCCTATGTGGAATGGAATGCAGTGAGGTCAGATATCAGGGCAAGGAAGACCAACCACATAAAGGTTTTTTGCATACACTTGCCTTGGTAGCAATTCCTCAGAAGTACAATATCAAGGTTTCGGTTTACATGGCATCAGTCAATAAATGCAGAAGTTAAAATGTGCCTGAGACTCTTCACTAAGTTGTATTTCATAATTAAAGTGTACATTTAAAAGCCAAACTAGTCACGAAAGTATAACATACAACAAGGGCAGTTAGATAAGTTAATGTTGCTATGGGAACCCCAGCAGATCTTTTTGTGTCTCAATTTAAAAATCATGGCCTAAGGTGATTTTAAAAACAACAGAAGGTAAAATCGTTCTCTAATTCTCACACATGTAAATTGTACTCTCTCTCAGTCCTAAATAGCAGATTCAAACCAGGCTTTTGACTGGCACAGTAAAATTCAGCTTTGTGTCTTTCTATAACGTATTATAGCATGTAGTTAACCTTTAGAAACTTCAAAAATACATCACCCAAATTTGGACTGTGAGACACAAACTGTGCTCTTTTGGGCTCTGTCTAGCATAGACCTCCAATGCCACATGGCTGCTCGGTTAAGGCCATTTCTACCAGTGTCTTCTACTTGTCTGGTCAGTCTTTCTCTTGCTTAGCCCACCTAAATCAGCCCCCTACTTAAAGTTTGCTGCTAGACAAAATATAGAATTTTGGCAGAGAGGGGGGAAAAAAGGAGAGAAAGACCTGATTAGGAATATTGCCTATTGATATTAAAAAATCATGAAGTGTTGCAAATGTATCTGCTTGGGTATTAGTTTAAAATATTTGATAGCTGCATGAAATTCTAATTTTTTCCTCATAAACATAAAGCTAGGACCCGTTAGTTAGGCAGAGTTAAAGATTTAAAAATTCATCTTCTGAGGGAGCTGAATTTCAAAAGGACCGTTTTCTTTCTAACAGAAAAAGATGTTCCTTCGTCTTCTTACGACACAGAAACAATGAAATACTCTATATTAAAAACGCACCCTCCATTTTTCTCCACTTCTAAAAATTCACTTTTGAGCATTTTCCAAATGTAAAAACTCTTACACATGAAGAACTGTTTCAGAAGTTTGTAAGAAAGTCAAGGTAACAGTTTCTATCATTAAAAGTTTTGCATTCAGTATGACACATTTATCGTATTGAAACATCCAGTTAATGTTGACTTCTCAGAAATTATTTGCTTTGCTTGACTCATTTCCATATGCTTTGTCTCTAAATTATGAACACATCAAGGTTTCTACCATTCTGCAATCTAAATAGTTACTATACTCTAGTTTGTATGTGAAAACTCACCCATATTTATTTAGACTGCTAAACTTCAGGTAGTTTAAATTCTTGCCCCCAGACTCCTATCCCGTATTTCTATGGTTTTCCAACTCCTCAAAGCCAAGTTCTGAATCCTGAATATATCGCTCGTGGTTACTTCTAGTTGGTTTTAATGTTTATTATGCTCCTCACAAGTACAGATAACTTCACATTTGCATCACTAATAGACCTCTTTCAGACCTCCGCTGCTCCTGCTTCCTGCCTCCATTAGTCATCAGTAGACGACAAGTTGGCTGGGTATTCCCCCCCCACCCCCGACTTGTGAAAGTGCCTTGTAAATTCTAAAGCACTGAATATATGTGAGGTATTGTTATTAATACCAACATCTACAGTCTACAAGGCAGCATACAGAGTATTCCAGCAACAGAAACTTTTTCAGTGGTTTTATGAGACCCTGTGAGAAGGACAGTAAGATATGGTGGAAAAGTATTGCCTCAGAGTCAAACAGAAAGTCTGGGTCTTGGGTTCCTTGTGAACCACTTAGCTACTCTTAATTTAGCAACCAGTGCTGAGTCTTTTATATACAATATTTTTATATATTACATTATTACTTCATTTAATCTTCAAACTCCTATGACTTCATTTCTATTCGGACCATTTAACAGATGAGACTGGGGCTCTGAGATTCGGGGTAACTTGCCCAGGATGTCACCGCCAATCCATGGCGGAGCCACAGTTTGGACCCACAACTGTCTGATTCCAAAACCTCTAGTCTCATCAGCGCACTTTTAATCGATAGCTCACATGATGCTGGGAAAGCTGCTGGAGAAGAAAAAGAGCTCCTGAATCAAGCGGAGAATTATAGCAATGGGTAGGAGTTTGGATGAGACAATCTACAAGGTGACAGCTCATTCTAGATCCAGTGATTCTATGAAATAAGTACGTTGCACTTGTCCACAGTTAAACTGGGAAGGAAAAGAAGGAAAGGAACCGAGAGGAATGACAAAGAAAAGCTTTCAATCATTTCTTTTCAGCATTCTGCATATGTTTACTTCTGCTCCCGCCCCACCCCCTTCAGGCTTCCACTTGGCTCCCCTCCGAGCGAGCGAGCGAGCCAGCTAGCGGAGCACCCATCGCTGGCATACTCCTCACTTACAGGAAAAAAAAAAAGCAGTCTGAAAAAGCCCTTAAAATGTCTTCCAAGGGATTCAGCTTTAGTATAATGTAAAAGATGTGAATTCGGGGATTGTCAGTAATAAAATATGAGTGAAAACATCTTTATTTTAAAACATTGTATGTACATTAATGCCACATTAATGCCAATTCAAGCATAAAATGTTGAGCATTTCTTGGAATATGGTTTGGGATTTGAGAGGCACAAAGTTACCTGCAAGATGGCTTTGGTGTTGTTATAAATAGAAGTAAAATAACAGTTGCATCTTCGTTTATAATGAATCTTCTATTGTAGCTTCAAAGCTACAGAGGAAAGTGGATGCCAGAACCGGTCTTTCATTAACATATGCCTTACATGACAGGGAAGAGGTGTTGAAGACAAATTACTTTTCCCTCTGAGTATGAATCAGCAACATGCAGTAACGAGTAATAACAGTTCTGTGTATGAGTGCCTGCAGAAGGCAAGAAAAACAGCCTCAAATTGAAAATGCAAGTGCACCTGCTGGAGAGGCCCAGGAGGCTGCAGAGCACAGCCCCCTTGAGCACCCTCCTGAAGTGTCTCCGAGCACAGTGACCCCAACTCTGGCAAGCCATGCTGGCTTGAGATGAACGGAACACATTAAAACCTCCAGATGGTCAGAGAGAGCCCACCCTCAGCTGCCCTTGGGGCTACAAGGCACTACTTGTTCAAGAGTTTAAAACAGCTGCTTTGGATTCTGTAGCGCATGTGGTTTCACAACCACTTAACCTTTAGTAAGGAACAGCTAGAGGCAGGTGAATGAATAAAAATACACGTTAACATTTCATAAGGAGGAAAAAAAAAATCAATACTCGAGGAACTCATGGACTTCAAATAGTCACAAATAGCGTCCAGTTAGCTGTGTCCCTGGCTTCCCAGGGATTTGCGTCTTTATCTTTGATTTTCTCCAGCAGATAGGCACTAAGTTGAGCCTGGGCCCCAGAAAATATATGCTTTTCTACCAGATGTTGCCTACCAAGTCAAGTGAGCCATTGATAGCCTCCTAAAAAGCCCCCAAGCATCATCTCTCCAGCTTGGGCTGATGGGTTTGGTCCAGGGAAACTGCGAGTTTTGTTATGCTTATACAAATTCTTTGGCAGTTCTTTCAATCTATTGCTCCTTTATGTGACACTTCCTAGCTCATTGAAGAAAAAGCAAAAATGAATTTTCTTTCTCAGTTTATCTTTATGTATTGGTGATTATTGGTTCTTTCAAAATCATTGAGGAATGGCACTCACCCTTCAAGTCTTTAAGCCTTTCTCATTGGGAAAAAGAGCTAAAACTCTGTGACTTCATAAAATTAATGATGAAATGCTGTTGAGTAATTTGCATTGGTTTTGGGGGGTTTGTAAATGCTATGTATTTAACCCAGGCAACACTATGCAGTTGCTGCCTCATTTCTCTTACCTGTCTCCCAAGGGTGACTTGTCTTCCACCTGAGGCTGTCCTACTCAACAGAATGTTTGGCCTAAAGAATCTGATAGCTCTCCATACATCTTTAGTTATGCCCCAGTCCCTCAGGTGAGCTGAGACCGCGCCCCCTCAAGCAGCATTTGGAACTCCACTGAAAATCACCTGAAAGAGAATGACTGAAATTGCCTGCATCACATGCTGCATTGAAGCAAGGAAATTTCTGTCTCCAAGGATAATTGCTTTTCTCATTGCTCATACTTCTTCCTCCACAGCCCTCATTTATTTTAATGTATATATTCTACTTTGACTCTCTAGAAGGTATTTTTAAAGTTTTTTAAAAATCCAAATGAAAGATGAAATTCAGGATCCAGAAAAATATTTATTCTATTTATCCTTTCCATGAATGTATTCTTAATCAACCGGTCTGATTGTCTCTTCATTTGCAGCTTTGTTTCCTAATAGAACACTTGGGCTCTGGAGATTAGGGAGACAAAGCTTCATTATAACCATCCTTGTTTTACTCCCATTTCTTATATGGTTTCTCATCCTAACTCACTCTCCAGGTGCTTCTTTCTCTTGCCAAATAGTGCAAGGAAACACTTTTGCAGATCTTTTGTTTACTTTGGAAAAAACACTGATCCAGTCTTTCCCATTTGGGAGTGCTGCTCATTTCCTGACTGGCTTTTAAAGTTTGGCTCGGTAGCAACTTGGGGATTTGTTTTCTACCCAGAGTGGAAGGAGTTGGGTGCCCAGCAGCCCCATGCTGGAATGAGAATTAAGTTCTGCTCATTCCCTGGATAAGCAAGCTGATGTTTTCCTCATAGTTTTTTTTTTCTTTCCCCATTCCTCAAAGTTTTAATGTTTAGTCATTTAGCTTTAACTTTTTAAAAGGCATTTTAATAGGGTTCTCTCTCCTCCAAGTGCTGACAGAAGCTGATCATGTACACAGGGGAACTCTCAAGAATAATGAATTCCCTGTTTGCTGGGTTCTACCTACAATACAGTGTGCAGCGTAGCACGCGGTGGGCTTGCCCCTGCTCCAAATCCACTGCCACTTGCCTGGCCTGGTCTAGAAGGACCTGCTACACCAAAAGAATTTGGCTTGTGCTACCTCACTTTCTAGGTCCCCAAGACTGCTGAGTTAATGAAGTTTTGGTTATTACCCAGTTGAACATTTTCTTATTTCATGTAAGTTTTATAAATTTTTTTGTGCTTTCTTCTCTTGGGCACATTTACATTAAATTTCATTCTAGTTATGCAACTGTGTCTATACTTAATTATGTTTGTATATGAGTATAATTTACTTTCTGTTCATCCTACCTTGGGGAATTTATTCATAGTTTCTTATGAGGTCAGTAACTTTCCAAAGAGGCGGGCTTTCTAAACCAGAAGCCTATACTTTTCTATATTCATGCATTTTTACATTAAAATGTATGTTTGGACTAGCAAAGTTTGTTAGGTTTTTTTTTTTTTTAAGATTTTTATTCATTTGTGAGAGAGAGAGAGAGCAAGCATGAGCGAGGGGGGCGGGGGAAAGATGGAGGGGGGAGGAGCAGAGGGAGAGGGAAAAGCAGACTCCCCGCTGAGCAGGGAGCCCAGCACCATGCTACCCAATGTAAAGTGGCACTTGATCCCCAGGACCCTGGGATCATGTCCTGAGCCAAGGCAGATGCTTAACAGATTGATCCACCCAGGTGCCCCTGGACTAGCAAAGTTGAATGATAAAAATAAAAACACTGACAAAGATCTTAACTACTTTCTTTAAGGACTTAATCTGTAATATAAAGTAATATCACAAATATAATACCTTATTTGGGGGTGGGGAAAATACAGACAAAGATAAAGCTATTGGCATAGACAAGGTCTAGTTGAGGAGGCATACTGCTGTCAATATTGGTGACAAAGAATCTAGGGTCAGTCATCCCTCCAGCTCAGCCAGGCATAGATAGTCCCATAAGGAAGGGCTAACAGAAAAAGCAAGCCACATTTTGGCTTAGAGAAGGTAGGCAGTGTTCACAGGCAGATTAGCCAGAAACTGCTCCAGTGACCCAAAGAAAAATGCAAGGTCAGAGAGAATTGTAACAAGAGTGACTTGTAACTGAATCTCAGAGAAATGGACTGTAAGCTTTAATGCCCGCTGGCCTAGCTCAGGAAGAGCCAAAGAGCGAGCCCTAACTGGGCCTTGGAAATGGGAAGGCTGCAGAGGCCATGAGCTTTTCTCTGTTTACCTGAAGTGTACCATAGAAATGGCTGGTAAGACATTTTGTTCTTGATACTTTTTAGAAGAGCAAAGACTCACTTTGATCTGATTCTTCCTTTTGATTCCCAAGCCCTTGTGTTTTCCATCATGATGTGTCAAAAAGTGTGTGTTTATTGATCTTCAAAAACCTGGAAAGATGAGACACAACTTTAGGAGAAACATACCCAGAGAAGTACAGGCAGAAAGGGGCATTGACTGAGCCAGAAGATTGCCCTCCTTCACCAGTGTGGCAGAGGAAGGTCTGGCTTCTACTTGGCAGAAGGTACAGATTAGGTATCAATATAGTGTTGTCACCAAGTGAGTGATTCATGATCTGTGATCCTCTACAAGAAGAGTAATGGAAGGCAAGTGAAGAATACAGGCTAGCATAGCCTGAGACAAGGCTTCAATGTACAATCTCTGCCATTTGGTGAGGTTTGAGAGAGGCCCCCAGAGTAATACCTCTGTGTTCCTGCCCAAACTGTAAACCAGCTGAGAGAAGCTGATACTGGAGAAAATGGCTCAGGGGACATGGGAACAATTGCCTTCCTACTACTGAATCCAAGAATCAAGACCCACAGCTGAACTCTGCTCCTGGGGGTCGGCCCCTGCATAGCCTTGTACAGAGTCGCCAGTTTCCAAGAGAAAGTGAAGGAGGACTGGGTTAAACGTGCCTGATTCATTTCCCAAATTCACTTTCTATGAGGCACTTCTCCTAGGAATGAAGAGAGCAGGACTAAAGAGACCAGGTGGGTCCCTCCACATGACAAGAAACAACAGGAGTGGGCAATTACCTAAACCTTTTATAAGTGCTCAGTCAACCCATGGCATGTTTACTGGGGCTGGAGCAATGTGGAGTGGACTCTCCTATGCTCTTTGTGACTTGCTGAGTAGTCTGCTTAGAGAGAGAGACCAGCAGTAGTTTTTCAGCATGATGGATGGAATCTTCAGGGTATGCGCTGACACATGTAGATGGTTGGAATCCTGGGGACTAAAGTCAAAGGGAGTTTCCAAAGGTATTTCCAATGACTTATTCTGGGAACCTTACCATATTTAAATCTTTACTAGACTGCTAAATAAATGGCCGGGAGGTCTAGCAACTCTGCCAAGCACCATCTCTACATTCACTTGCATAACGAATACTGGCTCTAGACCAACACTTCTCAAACTACCTGAGGTAAAGGACCAGTTGTTGCTTTTTGTTTTGTTTTGCACATTTGCAACCTGTCATAGACCAATGCTTTACAAAGATGAATTACTAGAAAAAAAGATGTCCTCCGATTGCTGGCATTGTGTTTCCTGGTGTCTGCCCTCTCTCCAGCAATCTCTTCTGATGATCTCCCAAGCAGCCAGTGCATACCAGCTGCATGTCAGGCCCTGCTCTAGGGTTTGGAAATGAAGGGATGAGCAGGAAAAAATAAAGATGGGCAATATACAAGCCCAAGGTTTTTATTAGATTCAACAGATGTTAATTATTTGGTTACTCTACTTACCTTGTCACAGGCTGGGAATGAAACAGACCAGCACCTGCCCACAGCCCACACCTTGAGCTGCCCGACTCTAGACCACAGGGAGACTAAAACTCCACATCACAGAATTCGATCAGCTTCACCTCCTGAACCCTGTGGTCTTTCTTCACTATGGGGCATCCACTGCTAGGACTGGGCTCTTGCACCTAGAAAATGCTTAGTCCAGGTGCTCCGTGCTGTTCCTGGTACCTTTTCATGTACTTGGCTGTGTGAAGCACACAAAACCACACCACATCACCCTGCTCTCACCAGGATTCCTGGTGGTTATTTTTCCTTTTACTTGTTCACTTTTTTCAAAATGATTTTTTTCTGAATATGTGAATAGGTGCTTAATAGTTTCTAGGCTGAGGGCGCCTGGGTGGCTCAGTTGGTTAAGCGACTCCCTTCAGCTCAGGTCATGATCCCGGGGTCCTGGGATTGAGTCCCGCATCAGGCTCCCTGCTCTGCGGGGAGCCTGCTTCTCCCTCTCCCACTCCCCCTGCTTGTGTTCCCTCTCTCGCTGTGTCTCTCTCTGTCAAATAAATACATAAAATCTTTTTAAAAAAAAAAGTTTCTAGGCTGATTTAAAATGGAAAGGGAGGGTGCCTGGGTGGCTCAGTTGGTTAAGCGACTGCCTTCGGCTCAGGTCATGATCCTGGAGTCCCGGGATCGAGTCCCACATCGGGCTCCCTGCTCTGCAGGGAGCCTGCTTCTCCCTCTGACCCTCCCCCCTCTCATGTGCTCTCTGTCTCAGATAAATAAATAAAATCTTAAAAAATAAAAAAAATAAAAATAAAAAAATAAAATGGAAAGGGAGATGATTCTATTCTTTTATTAAAGTCAAAACTTGTGATTTTTTTCCGCATTGAATGGTATTTTTAAGACTGAGTTGATGCCAGACTCAGAGAACCCGGAGAACTTGGGGAAAGGCCAGAGACAGATAAAAGAGTATTAGTAGTTTGTTTATAAAGGCCATGATTAGAAGCTGAAGAAAATGTGTTACTTTACCCTAGAAGAAGAGCACACCAAAGATGAGAATGGTAGCTCCCAGGTAGAAACAGGCAAACAGGGTTCTCAGAGAAGAAACATGGGACCCATTTAGATATAAATCCTAGCTTTCCTGTTGTTGGTTGTGTAACCTTAAGCAAAATACTTAACATCTGTGAGCCTCAGTGTCCTCAACTATAAATTGGAGATGATACTGCTTACCTGAAGATTGTTGCAAGGACAAAATACAAAGCACATCAAATGTGAGGCATGGTGCCTGGAGGTGTTTGGTGCTTAACAAGTGGTAATTATTTAATCTATCACTAATAGATTATTTTATTTTTTTACAAAGGATGATCAAGTCTGTCTCTTTTTGGGGGGGGGGGTATGGACTCCTCCTGCAGTATAAATAATTTAAATTAGCCATAAGAAACTTCCTAACTATGAAGAGTTGAGGGGGTTTTTTGTTTTGTTTTGTTTTAAGATTTATTTATTTATTTTTAGGGGGAAGAGAGAGAGAGAGCACACATGCACATGAGCCGGGAGAGGGAGAGAGGGAGAGAATCTCAAGCAGACTCCTCACTGAGTACAGAGCCCAATGCGGGGCTCAATCTCATGACACTGAGATTATGACCTGAGCCGAAACTAAGAGTTGGACGCTCAACTGACCTAGCCACTCAGGCATCCCAAGAATTGAGTTTTTTTTAATTTCAGAAAGTCACTGCTATTTCCTTGGCTTATGTTCAGTTCTGTTCAAACATTTATTAAGCATCCACTGTGTGCCAGAAACCGTGTGGGACACTGACAACGCTAGAGTGAATAAGACTTGGCCCTTGCTCCTTGGATGCCTGCAACGTAGGATGGATGCCCATTTATCTGAAATGTGGTATCTCCCACTTGAATTGACTGGCTCAGCTGGCCACTTACTTAAACCTCTTGGCTCCATTGGCCAGCACTGCCACAGTCTACTGTACTGTATCCATTGGCATCCTCATTTTTGAGACCCTTTCCAAGGCCCTCCGTGAACAAATCTCGTCATGTGCTACCCAGTGAAAGCCAAACAAAGCATGTGAAACAAGTCCTCAGATGCAGCCCCTGTACCTATGCCCTCTGGTGTCCAAGGTCACTTCTAATAATGCTACCGCTACACAGACCACCTCCTTCACAGCATTTAGGGCTTCCACTCACGATGTCTCTCAGGACCATTCCGCATCACCACAATCCATCTAACTGGTCACAATTGAGATGAAATCTGGGCTGCCTTCAAGAGATCTAAAAGACTCTAATAGTGCTACAAAGCTCTACTCCTTGCCCATGCTCCATTCACCAGAGTTGGTCATCCAAACTGGGAACCTGATGTGGCTTACCTCTTGTAACATTGGTCACCTGAACCTCACATAATCTCAAAAACTTGTCCTTGTGGAGTCCAGAAATAAACCTCACATATACGGTCAAAAGACTTTTTGAAAGGATACCAACACCGGGTCACCTAGGTGGCTCAGTCATATGAGCATCTCACTCTTGATTTCGGCTCAGGTTGTGAATTCGGGGTCCCCCTGCTCCCATGCTCTCTCTCTTTCTCTCTCTCAAATAGGTAAATAAATCTTAAAAAAAAAAAAAGGATACCAACACCGATAGGAAAAGGACAATCTTCTCAACAAATTGTGTTGGGAAAACAATATCCACCTGCAAAATAATTAAGTTGGACCCTT